ATGTTGTATTCATGTGGCATTGTTTGCCTCTTGTATGTATCCCCATCTATTATGTAATGTTGATGTAATGATATCCACCTTGCAAAAGCGTTTCAATATGCAGTTCTATCCTTGGTGGGACCTTCGAGTCTCTTTAGGATAGTATCGCATATTGGGCGTGACAGGTCATGTCCATCACATCATTCTCCTAATGATGTGATCCCGTTCATCAAATGACAACACATGTCTATGGTTAGGAAACATAACCATCTTTGATTAACGAGCTAGTTAAGTAGAGGCATACTATGGACTATAGGTTTTGTCTATGTATTCACACATGTACTAAGTTTCCGGTTAATACAATTCTAGCATGAATAATAAACATTTATCATGAATTAAGAAAATAAATAATAATTTTATTATTGCCTCTAGGGCATATTTCCTTCAATGTGCTGCACGGTTTGGTACGGTGGACTCTCCGGATTGCAATGGCCACTGAAAGATCTTCGCAAGGATTTTTCTCCCCATATCGGTGGTTGCCTTTGATGGTGAGATGCAATATATGGACGATGTCTTGACGCAGAGGGTAAGGTTGTGCAGTGGCGGAGGTCGGTTTTCTAGCCCATCACACGCAGTTGCTTGGATCGCGGAAAAGTGGTGGCGACAACATATGATTGACTCCGATGGTGGTGCTTCTAAAGTACATGGTCTTGAGCTCCGGGGTGAAAACCTAGGTTTGACACAAGTTGTTCATACACGGCAATGGCGACGCTTTGCGTCGTGACCTTGCTGAAGGCATTGCTCGGATAAGCTCGGACTGATTCTTCAGGGTGAAAACCTAGAATCTGAACTTTGATGGTTGGATCCGGTGACGGGGGCATAGAGTGTCACTCCCTTCATGAAGGTGTTGCTGTTGAGGAACCTCATTGTCCTTATGGTGTCATGAGATGGTCGGTGCGGATACGGTTGTTGTTGTATATTGTCGATCACAGATTTGTTTGATTTGATGTTTTTTTCTCTCGTTTAGGCATTGCTTTGGTCTTATATGACTTTGTTATTTGCCAGCGGGTTTTTGTGTGTGTGCGTTGGTGTTGGTTGTGTGCATCCTAGCTATGCAGAGGTCGGGTGTGTGCTCACTGTGTTTGTATCCACTCGATGCTTCATTTTGAGTCAATAAAATCCACCCTTTGTCGAAAAATAGAGCCCATCTGGGTTTCATCCCCAAAGAACATGAGATTCCAAAATCCAGTGACGCTCGGGGGCTACTGACGATGCAATACACCGGGGGTGGCCCATCGACCGATGAACACAATGTTGGGTTGGCCTCAAGGTCCAGGAGGCAGTCTGGCTCTAGAAAGCAATCCAGGAGACCTAGCGCGGGGCGAAAGAAGCATCCTGGAGAGTTGGAGTACATGCAAAGGAACCCTCGGTACGATGTTGGTTAGGGAGCCTGTAAACTCTAGTTCTCGGTACCTTTATAAGGCGAGGTTAGGGGCAGTTTTCAGCCATCTACTCCGTAGACATACTCTCGGTAGCTATATTTATCATCCCTTTTGTAACCACGCATTCGAAACAAGACGTGGGGTATTACCTCACCGTGAGGGCCTGAACCTGGATAACTCCTTGTGCAAACTCCCTTCTGTCACTTTGCCATTTGTCAGTTTTCCGTCGGAGATCAGACGCAACTTGTTATGTAAGATTACTTACCCTGAAAAAAATGTAAGGTTACTTGTGAACAGAGTTGGGTTATGGACTGTCTGACTGACCATGGAAGAATATGTGAAATTACTGTGTGTACCGAGCTACTAGTAGCTCCAGAAAAGAAAACTCTGTTTCCGCGGAAAAAGTAATTGTGGCGACTATAAATAAAATTTACAGAAAGAGAAACGAAAGCGAGAAAGATAAGGTTTGGGCCACCCAGCCATAATCCCTCTCCCTCTCTGCACACAGTGGGCACCCGAGCTCAGCTCAGCTCCGCCTCCGCTCGAGCCCTCTCTGACCTACTTCGCCGGCGTCCTTCCACCCCGCCGCCCCCATGCTCCTCCCGACGCGCCGCCTCCCTGCTGCCCCTTCCCGCCCATCCGTGCACCCGTACATCTCCCCTGCGCGGCCCTCCCTCCGGTTCCGGCGACAGCGTGGTCGAGCGGCGACCGCGAGGGCGACGTCAGCGACACCTCCCGTGGTACGATGCTCCTGCCTTGTGAATTCGCTACCTGTAGATAATCAAACAGCGATTTAGGGATACTGCTTACAGAAATTATGACCTTATCAGTTAGAATGGTGAAAATTGTACTATTTCTCTGATGTTTGCATTGCTTTGCTTCAAATGTTTAGTTTGGTGACACACTGCTGGGTCTGTACGAGAAAGAGAGGCTAGGCCTGTCACGATACGCCGACGAGGAGTCCAGAGAAGACGTGTTCTGGGAAACCTTGGATGCTGATTTGCAGTACTGGACCAGATCCCTGCGCCCGGTGCAGGTATATATCAGGTGTGCTTCATAGTGGAATAAGCAGTCATACATATATGCTCAACATTGTAATAGCTCTAGCTTGTAAAAATCAGCTACTAATGTCTAGTGTGTTCATTTACTCATTGCTATCTGGACCTTGCAGTGGTATCCTGGTCATATTGCAAAAACAGAGAAGGAACTGAAAGGACAGCTAAAGCTCATGGATGTTGTCATAGAGGTCCGGGATGCTAGAATTCCCTTGGCAACCACCCATCCTAAGGTAGAGGTCTTGGCGGTTTATCATGTTTATTTCTAGAAGCGGTGGTGTTCGATTGTGCTGAGACATGTTTTGAATGACCAGATGGATTCCTGGCTAGGCAACCGAAGAAGGATCATAGTGATGAACCGCGAGGACATGGTGTCGGCCGACGACAGAAATGCATGGGCAACTTACTTTTCTAGTCAGGGCATCAAAGTTATTTACTCAAATGGCCAGCTGGGCATGGTAAGACAACCGTTATGTAATCTCTGTTTCCAACTGGTCAGGTATATGCTGGTTTATGCCCTGATGCAGTATATCACTTTCCTGTCCGTGGTCAGGGTACGATGAAATTAGGCAGAATGGCAAAATCAGCAGCATCTACTGTGAACACAAGGCGAAGAGAAAAGGGATTGCTTCCTCGTCCGGTAACTCAATTGATTTGTTTTGCTTCCTGTCAATTTTTTTTTGTTCTGGAACTTTTCCATAAGAAGAGGTACACTGTGCAACTTGGTTACGATATCATAGAAGTAATGTTTGCGTGCATCCCTTCTGAACTCTGAAAAACTTTGGTTTCATATAGGCTGCAGTTAGATTTATTTGGAAGACTTGTGTAAAGTCATTGGTTTGTTAGTTACATTAGATTTGTTTTGCAGACTTGTGTGAAGGCAATATTTCTTGATCCTTTTTCAATTTGAGTAATCATCCAGATAATGACGGTCTGTTTACCTTATTCATTGTTTCTGTTGTACCTTGTTTTTTTTAAGGTTCGAGCTGGTATTGTTGGATATCCAAATGTCGGTAAATCTTCCTTGATTAATCGCTTGCTAAAACGAAGAATGTGTCCAGCAGCACCTAGACCAGGTGTCACAAGAGAACTGAAGTGAGTTACTCAGCTGCATACGTGGTCTTAACATTGATGGTTGTTGTACACACATATTGTCGTTTCTCTTAGTAGGAAACAATGTGATGTTTTCTCTATTCAAAATTCTAACATTTGATACCTCAAACAGGTGGGTTCGTTTTGGGAAGGATCTAGAGCTATTAGACTCACCTGGAATTTTGCCAATGAGAATTAGTGATCAGACAGCTGCACTTAAGCTTGCTATCTGTGATGATATTGGAGAAAGGTCATATGATTTTGCTGATGTGGCAGCAATTCTTGTGCAGATATTGTTAAGACATCCGGCTGTGGGTGAGTGGTCCGACAATCTAATGATATGTTTTGAGCGTGGTGCATCCTGCATACTCTCTCCAGTTGCAAGAAAAAAAAACATTTTCTACATACCATTCCATCATCAAGTGCGGGTGCGAATCAAAATCGTTACTGACAGGTTTGTGTGAAACAGGTTCTGAGGCATTTCGAAAACGATACAAGATCGATGTCGACAGTGACTGCGGTAAATTGTATGTTTCGATCAACTGCAGTTCTTTGAAATGACATTAGAATTTTTGGAGTTGAGCCGATGTCCTTATACCATAGTTGACATTTTACAGGTTTGTCACAAAGCTCTCGGTCCACTTGTTCAATGGAGATACCACCCAAGCAGCTTTCCGCATCTTATCCGACTTCCGGAAAGGAAGATTTGGTTGGGTTGCCCTAGAGAGACCTCCCACATGAACAATGAATATAACACTTTACCAGAGGTCATACTCACTGTAGTACGCACGTCAATCACAATGTCATTTGTAGCACCATCATAGGACAATTTCTCTGGACCTATGTGTGGAATGAGGAATCTATTGAGGATATGGTGGCTATATCCCTACATCACAAGTCTGACGGCACATCAGAAATTGCCATGTAGTTACATGGTTGACTAGGGGTCTGAGCTGATCTGTATGAGCATGTGAAAGTTGAGTTAACTCTTTTTTGTAATCTTTTACAGAATAAGAATGGATAAGTGGAACTTGGTTTCAATTTTGCACAATTAAATGCTCGCTCGCATTTTCTGGACTACCCATGGCTACTTTGGTGAAATCTGATCGGCCTTACATCCACATTTGAAATATTATGCTGTTAGCACTGGAATTTGCAGGCCATGTATATTCACAACACAGATATCCTATTTTCTTCAAAACTTGTGTTTTATACAAGCAACTAAACATTAGATAGTTTTTACAATAACTCCGCTCCTCTGTTCAGAACATGGTATATAATACAATGTTTGCTACACCAGTTACTCTCAGTTTGGCATACTGCTAGGCCTTCACCTCGGACGGGTGGCCTTGCACTTTTTACATCCTTGCCAGAGCTATGGATTTCAGGATAAAAGATGACTACACAGTATCCAGGTTCATTCACGTTTCTTTCAGTTGATTCCTGACTGAATTTCCAGACCATCAAGCCTGTCAATTAAATCCAAAGCCTTTGTCCTATCAATCTCGAAGTCTATGACAGGGAGCATGGAGAACCTCCTAAATGATAGCAGATCTTTCCTGTTTCCACTGGTTGGAGAATGGCTATTGCTCTTGCACAATCTGCTATGTTTGTCGTGCCTTGACTTCGTGTCGAATTCTTGACTTTTGCTTATCCCAGGGACGAATTTCCTGTACTTGACACACCTCAGCATATCCTGATCCTCTGGTGTGAGAATCGGGGATGAATTGTTCGCTGGGTCCAGCTGCAACCTAATTGTATGACCCTTTTGTGTCGGTGAACGGACAGGAGATTTGATAGGAGACCTTATATCTCCATTGGCTGCTCTGGATTTACTGATGAGATGATGAAGCCACACAACAAGCTCAAGGATATGTGCTTCAGTCTTGTCCTTCTCAGCATTATACAGTGTCTCGATCCGGGTCAAGTCCATCTGTCCTGATAGCTTGCAGCTCAGCTCAGATCTGCATAGAACAAAAAGATTGACACTCTTGAGAAATTCTATTTTCGTTAGTTTTCTTCAAAATTGTTGTAATCATAAGCTAACCCTGTATTTGCCCACTCTCCAACCCAACCAAAGCCGTGGTGTGCCCTGATATGAATAGATAATCACATTCTCAGTCAGATATGGATAGTTTTTGTAATTAAAAAGAACAGGTCATAGGTGATAATAAGTACTTAGTCGTATTATGGGCAATAGGGACAAGCCATCGCAAAGTTTTCTCCATTTCAGCTTTGATTTGAGAAACCGTAAGCTGCATCCATTTAGCATAACCATGTTCCAGTGTTATAAGATACATCGCCATAGCAAGGAATTGTGATTCACGATTCCACAGCATGGCATCGCGATTCACAACTGTCTGCTCATAGTAGCAGCGAATATGAGCCTCCAGTGTGGCATACCTCTTCTTTTATCTCAAAAGATTGTAGCTTAGGCCGGAGAGCAGATTTGACGGTAGGCGGCAAACCTTGGTATAGATTATCCCTCGTGTTTGAAGAGATAGAACTTGACCGGGAAACCTGCCAAGTCGCAAATCCTTTTTAGTAAATATCAAAAGAAATTCAAGTCAAAGGATATATCACCACACGAATATGAGCTGCTGCACGTGGTTGCTGTGGCTAATTCGCAACATCTGATAGTGCAATTGAGTATGATACTTATAAATATCGCAAGATATGTACTCATGCAATCAGGGGGGTCTTCAGTCTGCAGGCCTTATGGCAGTACATCGAGGTCTGGCGGATGGAGCAAAGGTGCAGCTTTCTAGCTCGCCAGACGTCCTCCAGTGGTGCTGGATATCGGATGGCTCAGTACATGCCTAAGAGCTGCTACGCCGCCTTCTTTCAGGGAGCGGCCAGTTCGAGCTCTTGGAAGTTGAACTGGGCTCCCCACAGGAACTAGTTTTTCGTGTGGCTCGTCTGCCAGGACGGCTGAGCGTCTAGCACGGCGAGGCCTGCAGCATACGTCTAGCACGCTCCACTCAGCTTAGCTCACCTCCTTAACACAATCAATGTGGAAGCCAGGCAATGGCAGGGGAGAGGGGTCTTGCGGCATTGCTACCGGCAGAGGCGGTGTCAAGTGTTGAGAGGCGTCATGTTGTAATACCGGGTTTTGTGTTTTCTCTAAAAGAAAAGAAAACTCACGATTTTGGGTCCACAATCAACAACATTGCTCAACATATGAAAAAATCCCAAAAAGATGATGGTGCAGTATGTAGAATGCCATAGTGCCCTTTAGTATTTTAACTTCAACCTTAAAATGTATGAAAAGATAATGGGTGCCCAAAACCAAAGACAATTGCATGAGCCACAACAAAGGGTGACTGCACAACACATGTAGCCTATGAAAATGGTGCTAATTTTGTAAGAATCTTGAACTTAAGCAGACATCTTTGGATTAGAGATAGATCAGAATCTGTGATATTACTGTGATTGCAGAATAGTTGTGATATTTCCAGTAGTGTTAACTTACAAGTGTGTCAATCTGATTGATGATATTTGCATAATGGAGCGCAAGGCCTGCTGGTCCCAATCTCTTATGGCGTTTCACGGGTTCTTGTGGTTCTTCACTCTCTACAGTTAATAGGAGCAGGAACCTCTAAATCATTGCCACAATGAATGATGATTCATAATAAGATCACAATGTTTTGACAAGAATCAGCCTACACTTACATTACCTATTGAGGTAAACAATTTAGATTACCATATTACAGGGTTAAAGTGTGTGTTCATGCATGCACAAAAGCCGTTTTTTTCCCAAAAAAAAAAACATTGCACACTCCATAGCAAGTACATGCAATTTCGAAAGCTGCGATAAAAACCCAAGAACACATCTATACTATAGCATGGAACATACTCCCTCCATCCCGAATTACTTGTCACAGAAAGGGATGTATCTAGAACTAAAAATACGTCTAAAATACATCCATTTCTGCAACAAGTAATTCCGGATGGAGGTAGTATGTACCTTGTCCCCCCTGCTGAACGTGAATAAGTTCAGACATGATCTCAATAAAGATTCATTACCTTTGCATGGCTAAGGGTGCCAAACTAGCTAAATTCGATAAGAGCTTTATTCAATATGGATGCAAGGAAACTGAGGGTCATCTATCCGGGCAAGAGAACCAACCCCTTTAAGATTTTTTTAGTGGATTAATATCAGAAAAACTGGCTGACATGAAAAACTTAACAAAAGACATGAGAATGCATTTTTAAAACATATGCGGGGGAAGTTGATTATGGCAAAGCATATATATGATCCTTCAATCACCATAATTACTAGTAACAACATTCACTCTTGTAAGACAGCAGCCATAAGGCTCAATACCAGCATGACCAAAGGCATCGTAAATCTCCAGATCTAAGAAGTGGACGATGTCTACAAGCTTTTCAATCACCTGCAAAGAGAGTAGTTTTCTTCAAATCTGGGAGCATGAGGTGATATAAAAATCCACGTAGTTTAAACATCTAGTACTAACCTACAACATAACCAATGCCTTCCTAGAGCCAGCATTTCTTATTGTAATAGATTTTATTATAACAAACTCTGTACTACTGACCTCTTCCAAATTCTTGGACCAAAGTGACTTTCTTTTCAAACTTTTAACATGCTTGCTTTGGCTCTTCACTTCCTGCTTTAGTATATGCAGACTGTCATCTGCAAATAAACCATAAGTTTTCCTTTAGCTCGTCACTAGCATCCCTCTAAGTGCAATGCACATTTTACAGAATATATATTGCCTGAATGCATACTGACAAATGAAACCGAGACGAGGAGGTATATATCATAACTCATAAGAATTATGTAGTGAGATAAGCAACCAAGAGAAGGGGACAAGGGGAGCACCCTCTGCAACAGCACAGCATGCAAATGGAAGAGGGTGAATATGCTAGAATTTGAAACGTCAAGATGTAAAGGGCAATTAGTTGGTGAAAACTAGTAGTTGTGCAATTAAGAGGGTGATGCTGTGTGAGTGATGATAGTGCAAAGCTCCAACGTATTTTCTCATCCATTGGACCAGTCCCACTTGGATGGTCTGGATTGATTAGACTGAACTTAACTCGCGATTCTTATGTAGCTATAGATTATAGTTTTACAGATAAACGGCATCCAATGATAAATATCAATCCTTAAAGACTGTTTTCTAACGGAAAGCCCACAAATCATTGAGATGCACCATATTATTGTATTCTGCACTACTATGCACACAAGAAAGGCATTACTCTGGGATGAGTTTTTAGAGAATATTGATAAATGGCAACATAAGAACTATACGAGCAACCTAGTCGAAGACTGCATCTAATGGGATATATGATTATTCATTAAAAAATGGCAATGCTTATGTTCTATTTCTTAAATGGTTACAGAACAGGACGAACCCAGCTAAAAACATGCAAAAATGTGGAGCTAGGCCTGATAAATCAAACAGGTCTACAGTTCAGAAACAAAAATAACCTGTTAAACTCAAGTCATCATGTTCTTGATGTTTACGACGATAGTCTTGCTCAAACCTATCCAATGCATGCAACTCATGATATAATTCCTGAGGGGAGAAAGGTAAATAAGCGAAGCAAAGTGAATAACATGAAATCAATAAGCAGAATAACTCATGTTATAAAAAAAAGACCAGAATAATATCAGAAGTTCAAAAGACAGACATCTAGAAAAAGCCGAAAAAATATAGGTCGTTTTGGGAATTTACACGGTCCACAAGATACCAGTTTGATTATGAATTTCCATCACAATACATTGTTGCTTTCAAGACGAATCTATTAGTACTGAAATCATGCAGCCAACCTAGATTTCTAGAGATCTCTTCATTTATTGATGGTCAAAACTGAAAATGTTTGACGCTTACAATTCAAACTAGAAGTGCACTACATGGTTCTTTAGGCAAGTGCAACAGTTACTAGAAAAATCCAAGTAATCGAACAAATTTGATCATGGACCACTCAAACAAAGTATTGACAACTGAAATGGCCCAGACATTGCTACGTTCTATTCATTATGTAGCTATCATTCAGTGCTAAATTCATTTGCACAGTTACAATCATGTGCAAAATTTAAGTAATCAAAACGGTACATAATGCAAATGACTTATATAAAAACCATGCTAAATTAGCATGGTGATCCTTACAGCTGTATACTGAACACAAATTATCAACTGCTGCATCACGGTCTCGGCATCTCGTTTCATGGAATACTGGGAAGTTCTTTCTGACGCCAACCTAAGAATGGCAACAGTGAAACACAAGTTAGTACCTTATAATAATCACCTTTGCCAAAGACAAGGATAGAAAACGAACTGTACTTTTCAAAGTAGCGGTCCAAGTTGTGCCACTGAGTATCCTTGCAACGATTGCCAAAACGAATAATCTCTTTTGAGAATACATCTAACTCTTCCCTGTTGGAATCAAACAATTAACCACTTGACAAGAAGATGCAAGAAAGGTTCTGCTGAAGTTCTTCGAATAGTGAATACAGTTCTACTGGGGTAATGAAACTACTCCCTTTGTTATGTTATATCTGTCATCAGCCTATCATACGGACAGACAAAGGTAGCACTAAATCTTAGATATATTTAATGAAAAATCATCATGCATCCCCCTATAAAATGACATGCTACCACTTAACTCCTACCAAAGCATTAAAGTACTGGCAAAGTATTGAAATATTAACTGCATTATCGATTACTTCAATGGTCATATATTTTTAAATGGCCACTCATAAGGCCAGTGATAGATATATTAAAATGGAGGGAGTAATAAGCAGTGTAGATTCAACACTTACCTTTTGTCAGCGGCTGCAATCTCAAGTAGTTCATCCATATCTTTGGATATCAGGTGTTGGACACCTTCTGAGTGAAGCACCACTTCTTTTATATGCTTTATGTTAGAATTTGACAGAGAACGCATTAGATTGGAACCCTTAACTATTGTATTTGCCACCTCAAAAGCCAAAATAGATATTTTATTTCCCTTTGCTCCAGAACTTGACACAAAGCCACTGCTAGCATTTAAACTTGCCATGCTACTACCAAGTGTGTCTAGAACCTCCACAGCTTTCCCAAGCCCAACAGTGCTAGCTCTACCTAAAATTGTGCTCATTTCCGAAACCTGTTTCAATAGTCAGTATAGCAAGCAACCATTAAGCAGCCTAACAATGTTTTATGGAATGAACACTCTGGACAGTCAAAAAGAGCAAAGACAAGTGTACACCTAATTTAAATGCAAAAAACAAAGTGATCCTTATAGTAGGAAAAGCTCACAAAAATTGCATCTTTTATTGTCTATTACATAATAATTTTCATAGCATGACAATTTTTGCTATTTAAGCCCGAGAAGCCCAAAATAGTTGAGGAATTTTTTGCTGCTTGCATGGAACAAACTTGCATAGGATAGCCAGGAAGGATGAGCTCATTATGTGCAAAGTCATGCATCTGGCAGTTTGGTTTATTTTGTAAGATGATATGAGTTTTTCCTCAGCTATAAATTTTTTAAAAGTAACTGCAGAATATTGTTAATCACACTTAACTGACCAGTACATATCACTGAAAACTACTTGCGATTGTTAATCCAGACTGTTAAACAGGGGCGAGTGTTATATACTCATTGACGTGTTTGCTTGGAAGTTATAACTTAGGATTTCTAACTCCCTGCTTTAGCATATCAATACAGCGAAAAGATCAGAAAATATCCAGGCTACACAGTACAGTATGAAATTATAAAAATATAACCAAATTGATGTACATGCTTCAGCCCCAGCCAACTACAGTTAGATTCGATACAATGCGCTCACTAGACTCAACTACATGTGCACCATCTAGAACAAGGGGAAAAAAGGGCATTTGGAGTAATGGACACTTTATTTCGTGAGGTTGCTAATAAGTAATAAGCAAAACTATTCTTCATAAGATAGTTACCTGACTAATTATTCTTTTTACAGTAAAAAGAAAACATAGTACCTATGCATATGATAAAACAGGAACGCCATATGTCACTACAATTGTGATACGATCTAACAAACTAAGGACCGGAGAATTACTTTGAAAAGCTAACAGTTAACGAAATGCGGCACCCTGCGGCCTAATTCGTCATAGATTGAAAGAAATGGCACAAAAACTCCTCTAACCTTGGCCTTGCCCAGACCAGCCTTTTGCGACAGTGTCCGAGCCAGTTGTGGTGTCCTGGACCCTGTGTGCTCAGCATCTGCACCATTATGCACAGCAAGGCCGGGCACGACGCTCTCCAAGAACGAGAAAGACTGCTGCTGCTGCTGCTGCTCTTCCACCCTCTTCGCCGCGGCCTCTTCGGACACCGACTTCTTCTCCTCCTTCAACGCCACCACCGGCTCATGATCGAATACCTGATTCCTGCCAAGCGCGGTGTCGCTCGGCGACTTGTCTACTGCAGAGACTTTTGAGCAGAGGCCTCCCATCCCCCTCCTTGTTAACCAAAATCCCTGATCCCCACCTTATGCTAACCCAACTGCTCACCTCCTATGCACCATGATACCGTATTATTTTGTAATCCTCCACAAATCTAAAGCGATCTAGCGACTCCAATTCCACCAGCTTCCAGAATACCCCAAACAGCTCCTCCTCCAGGAACCACTCAATCCACCAAGACCTGACCAAACCAACCAATCAGGACGAACCGGACCAGCTCAGGCACGAGGGTTTACGCCGCGGCACGATCCCAGCAGCTCCAATCCATGTAACGAGCGCCTGCCTGCCTGCCAGAAACCAGACGAACGGTGCGGCTCAGAAACGACGGACGCCCAATTTCTTGTCTTTCCCGGAGAAAGGACGTGATACTTGAAGCGGAATCTGAGCGGGAAAAGCGGCGGAGACGAACCTGGTGAGGATCGGCCGGGGGCCGCGGCAATGCGCGGGGGCGCGGAGATCGTCGCTGGGCGTTCGGGTTCGACGGATTTGGGGAAGAGGAAGAGCGGAGACGGGGAACAGCCGAACAGGGGAGAGGAGCTTCGGCTGCTGTTGCGGAGACGCGAGTGGTTCACACGGTCAACTGCTACTGCCACACAGTCGCGTGTACACACAGCCCAAATTGTTTCGTTGCTTCAGCACAAAATCATTCTTTGTGTGGCATGGTCTAAATTTTGTGTGGTGTTCAGGTCTTCTTCTTTCTTTGAGTGGAAATTATTGCAGTTTTATTCAACAGTCACGGCGTCCTTACCGGTAACCTCCGAACTAACACATGTCGGAGGTGCCCGGAACCAAGTTTTACATAATTTATTGTACAACCCTCCCTAGCTAGGACGTGTGCGACTTTGTTCGCCGACCGTCGCACCCAGACTACCTTATAATCCTCGAAGGATTTCGGTAATACATTTACCTCCTGAACAAGATGCCCATGAACAGACAAATCTATCGATTCATCGTTGATTTTCCTAACCGCGTTTTGAGAATCCGTCTCCGGTACCACCCTCTGAACGTTCAATTATTGGGCTAGATAGACAACTCGACGACAGGCCATCAGTTCGGCCAGCTCTGGGTCGAGAAAAAAATGACATGATCCAAAAGTGAAGATAAAATGATGGTCCCGCAGGAGTGCTCCCCCCTCCAAACTCCTTGTTCTTTGAAAGTGCACCGTCAGAGTTCGCTTTGATCCATCTAAGATCTGGCTTACACCAAGTAGCTGCAGCCGGTGTAGCTACTAACCTCTATGACCAATAGACACGTTCCTTGATGGTTGTCGGGTCTTGAATTTGCCGCTCATCCTTGGCAAGACTCCTGGATATCCACAGCCAGGGTCGGCCCGAGTATTATGGAGACCCTGGCGCGATTGAGACACAATGAACCTACCTTACAGAGTAACATATATACTTTCAACAATATATAGCGTATATCATGAAAAATATAAAGACATAAAGAAAAATAATTTTAGTTAGCAAATAAAGCCATAATTTTAAATAAATATTGAATAAATACAACGTGGTGAAGTGCGCCGGGTGGTGGGGGCATATGCCCCCATCCATGTTGATTTTATGTTTCGCAAAATTATTATTTTAAATTTATTTAAGTATGTAGATATATTAGACCCTTATTTAAGATGGGCCCTAGGCCGCCGCACCTTTTGCCATGGCCAACGGCAGCCAACAACAACTACTATATTTACCCCGTGCGGGGATGTGATTGTTTACTGCCACGTCCGACCAACAACAATTAAGTGGTTGTTTGGATAACTAGTATTTAGAACAAGTTTTAGCAAAACCCATTTTAAGGTCATTTTTAGGAAAACTAGTTTAAAGTTGCTATTCTGTTAAAACTGGTTTATAGATACTTTGTTTGGACGCGGCTGACTTCTCTCGATGGCGTAATATCACAATCGAGTTTTGATGCTAGTTTGGGTCATCCTCAACCTTGAGGATGTGCCCAAGTAATTCACGCGAGAGGTGAGGATATCCAGGAGTGTAGGCACCGTGCCCAGCACGTCAACAATGGCACAGTTCCTACTGTTCCCGACGGCCCCATCACTGACACTGACCAAGGCACTCTCGACCGTGTCATGGCCGCCAACTTCCGGGGCGCTGCTTGCCTGGTGCGCGCGGTTGCCTGAGAGCTCGGTCACCACGGCGTGCGCGTCAGCCTCATGTACCCAAGTGGTGTGCCACACCGCTGAGCTGCGTCATGGTGGTCGTGAGCGTCGAGGAGATGGAGGCCTTGATAGAAGGTCCTGCGTGCGGCCGGCATGACAAGGTCATGTTGTTCCTCACGTCCGACCAGCCCGGGTTCGTCAGCAGCCACAACCACGTCTTCGACGGCACCACCACCATTGTCAACCCCCACCCATGCTCATGCCCCCGTTGAGAGGAGGACGCCACGACCGAAGGTGGTCTTGTGAGACAGCTGATGGTGATAACGTGGGCTTGCCGACGGCGTCGGCGTGCTGGATTTGCCCCCACCTCGTCGACGTTCTTGTTGGTCGTCGTCTACAAAGCGAGCAGCAGCCTTGACACTGACACCGACACCTGGAATCGGTTGACCTTGTCATACTTTACTGTGCGCCACCGTCGCCGGGAGCAGCCGCCACGTCACATGGAACGGTCGACTCTGTCATGATAGATGCGCACGGCTGACCTTGCGGTAGATGCACCGGATGTTGGGGAATGTAGTAATTTCAAAAAAATCCTACGCACACGCAAGATCATGGTGATGTATAGCAACGAGAGGGGAGAGTGTTGTCCACGTATCCTGGTAGACCGAAAGCGGAAGCGTTATGACAACGCGGTTGATGTAGTCGTACATCTTCACGATCGACCGATCCTAGTGCCGAACGCACGGCACCTCCGCGATCTGCACACGTTCAGCTCGGTGACGTCCCACGAACTCCAATCTAGCAGAGTGTCGAGGGAGAGTTTCGTCAGCACGACGGTGTGATGACGGTGATGATGATGCTACCGATGTAGGACTTCGCCTAAGCACCTCAACGATATAACCGAGGTGGATTATGGTGGAGGGGGGGCACCGCACACGGCTGAGAGAGATCAATGATCAACTTGTGTGTCTATGGGGGGGGCCCTCTCTCCCGTATATAAAGGAGTGGAGGAGGGGGAGGGTCGGCCCTCTACTATGGCGCGCCCCGGGGAGTCCTACTCCCACCGGGAGTAGGATTCCCCCCTTCCAAGTAGTAGGAGTAGGAGAGAAGGAAGGGGAAGAGAGAAGAGAAGGAAGGAGGGGGCGCCGCCCCTCCCCCTAGTCCAATTCAGACTAGGCCTTGGGGGGCACGCGGCCTGCCCTAGGTAGCCCCTCTCTCTTTCCCGTATGGCCCAATAAGGCCCAATGCTTCTCCCGGCGAATTCTCGTAACTCTCCGGTACTCCGAAAAATACCCGAATCACTCGGAACCTTTCCGATGTTCGAATATAGCCTTCCAATATATCGATCTTTACGGCTCGACCATTTCGAGACTCCTCGTCATGTCCCCGATCTCATCCGGGACTCCGAACAAACTTTGGTCATCAAATCACATAACTCATAATAAAAATCGTCACAGAACGTTAAGCGTGCGGACCTACGGGTTCGAAAACTATGTAGACATGACCGAGACTCATCTTCGGTCAATAACCAATAGCGGAACCAGGATGCTCATATTGGCTCCTACATATTCTACGAAGATCTTTATCGGTCAAACCGCATAACAACATACTTTGTTCCCTTTGTCATCGGTATGTTACTTGCCCGAGATTCGATCGCTAGTATCTCAATACCTAGTCCAATCTCGTTACCGGCAAGTCTCTTTACTCATTCTGTAATGCATCATCCTGCAACTAACTCATTAGTCACATTGCTTGCCAGGCTTATAGTGATGTGCATTACCGAGAGGGCCCAGAGATACCTCTCCGACAATCGGAGTGACAAATCCTAATCTCGATTTATGCCAACTTAACAAACACCATCGGAGACACTTGTAGAGCACCTTTATAATCACTCAGTTACGTTATGACGTTTGGTAGCACACAAAGTGTTCCTCCGGTATTCGGGAGTTGCATAATCTCATAGTCATAGGAACATGTATAAGTCATGAAGAAAGCAATAGCAATATACTAAACGATCAAGTGCTAAGCTAACGGAATGGGTCAAGTCAATCACATCATTCTCTAATGATGTGATCCCGTTAATCAAATGACAACTCATGTCTATGGCTAGGAAACTTAACCATCTTTGATTCAACGAGCTAGTCAAGTAGAGGCATACTAGTGACACTATGTTTGTCTATGTATTCACACATGTACTAAGTTTCCGGTTAATACAATTCTAGCATGAATAATAAACATTTATCATGAAGTGAGGAAATAAATAATAACTTTATTATTGCTTCTAGGACATATTTCCTTCACCGACGCTGCCCACCGGCATCTAATGGAGTAATGGAAGGTAGAGCCCTCTCCAATTGAAACGAAGGATTTCCTAATACTCATTTTTTGGGTTTTTGGGAAACTAATTTTTTCTTATGCACAGGTTTTTTAGAGTAACCAACATGGTTTTAGGTGGTTAGAGTCCTAAACATCATTAGGGAAAATAGATTTTGTATAAACCACGTATCCAAACAACCCCTAAAGCAGCTAACATAGCAAAATAATATTATCAAAAACTATGTTCAAATACGAACCTAACGGTATAATTTTTTATGACATGTATTAATATTTTGGTAGTTAAAGTTATAATCAAAATTTGACACAAAATATAAACAAGACCAACAAATTGTTGGAAATATTAGCACTTTTCCAATTAGATTAATCCACGAGTAAACAGTAAGCATGGCAAATACGGTATGCATCTCATACCGATTCCTAGGCATACTAGCACGTACAGAACATAGAAGCAAACCATCTATGAGAAGCACATATACGGATAGCACAAGCACGAGTAAATGAGGGATGAACAGATCATACCCTCCGGTTGGCCAGGCCAACGCG